TTTTTACATACAAAATTTACTTTTTTACTCTTATTTTATTTATTTTTTTCTTTTCTATACACAAAATAAAAGGACAAATTTGTTAACTCATAACAAAAAAAGTAATTACCTAAAAACTTGTAAATATCAATTAGAAAAATAGAAAATGGATTGAGGGACTATAATATTAATTTTATACTAAAAAAGTAATGTGAAAAAATAAAAAGTAAATGTATTTTGATATTTAGTTGTGAGTTACTTTTTCTTAAAAAATAAAAATAAAATGAAAAATTTTGATTTGAACAGACTAACATGACACATGAAAAATTATCAAATGGACGGACGGAGTATTATATTAATTGATTGTGATATAAAGTAAATTTATTTTTAAAAATATATGAAAAAATTTAATGATTTGAGAAAAAAAAAAAAAAAAATTCAAAGTAAACAAAGCTCTTTGAACAAGCAAAAGCAACCAAAATTAACTTCTTGTGTGCTCCTTCAAAGTTTTTATTTTGATTTGAGATTTGACAATAATAAAAGTTTGAATTGAAAGAATATTTTATGTGAAATTATTAAGTAATTGAAAACCAAAATAAATTTTTTTGATATGATAATAACAGTGACCAAACAAAATAAATTAAAAACCAACAAGTTTATATCGAGGAACACAATAATTGATTTTTTTAAAAAAATAAAAATAAAAATAATTATTATTCAATTTGGATATATATATATATATATATTTTAATAAACATATACTATTTATTCTCATAAAATATAAAGTTTAATACTATTTGAATCAAAATTCAAACCAAAACCAAACAAATTAAATGTTAAAAAATGTTAGAGTGTGTTTTTTTAGTTAAAACCATATTTTTCCAAAAATATATTTTCTTTTAAAAAATAATATATTATGTACTCATTATTTTTAATCAGTAACACAATTTTTTATAACTCACAAAAATATATATTTTCAAATCATTTCACTAAACAAACAAATCCACTATTTACTACTCCCTCCGTCCCAGATACCATGTCCACGTTGCCGTTTCTGTCCGTCTCACGTACCATGTTACTTCCATTTTTTTGGAAAATGATTACATACTTTAATCTCATTTTAAATTTTTTAATTTTATTTTTTAATTTTAATTAAACTAATTAGTTATCTTAATCTTAATTTATAATTATTTATATTATAGGATAATTATTTTCACTAATACATTCTTAATTATCTACTAATTACACCCCTACTAAAATACCGTGTCTAGCAGACACGGTATCTGGGACGGAGGGAGTAGTATTTGTAATAAAACAATTCATGTTAAATATAATTGTAATTTTTAAAAATAAATTTGAAAACAAGCTAGGTAATTTTAATTTAATCAAAAGTTTTCAAATTGGTTAAGTGTTACCACAAAGGACAAGTAATTTTATCTGACTTATTTAACCACAGAATAAATCTGAGTATTTTATGTGACTTACTGCAAATTAAATTTATTAAATTATCACAATATCAATGTTTTAGTGTCTATAAATATATTAATATAAAATGGTGTCTGAATAATTTATTTAATATTATTTTATTGTATGTATTTATTTTAATTGTAGTAGTCTCACGTGAGCTTCTCAACCTCAGTGCATTTACATTGAACTTATCAAATTATTCCATCATAATTTTATCTTATTTTGTCTATTTCTTTTTATTTTTAGTTCCTTCTTGAATATAAATTTCAAATTTCAAATGATATTTATTTTTAAAATGCGACATCAATTTATAACTTCCATTTGCAACAAAAAGTAAAAGTAGCTAGGGAAGTGTTTTTTTTTTTTCCTCGATTTTTAAATTTTCTATATAATTTACAATACAGTAATATATTTCCTAAAATTCAAATTATATATATATATATATTTTAATACAAATATCATATCAAATCAAGAAAAAACAATCTAATAGATGGAGTATGCAATCTTTTTAAATCAAAATTAGGACAAATTCTTGATAAGTGTTGGGGATTTTTTTTTTTTTTTTTTTTTTTTTTTTAAATGTGTGAATTAATATTTAGCACGCGAAAAAAAAAAAACAAAAAAAGACCTATAGACTTTCTTATTAATAATAAAAATTTGATTTGGCAATCATTGGGGAATGACAATGTAAATATTTGTACTCCTACTGTCCTACATAACTCTATAATCACATCACATGCACACACATGTCATATATATATATATATTTGATTTGGATTTATATATATATATATATATATTTGAATTTTATGTTAAAAAATATACCCTTTTGGTCCAACGAAATTAATCGCGTTTTTTTTTTGTGTAGCTTAAAAGAATTTGGTTTATATAGTTAATTAGTGTGATTAGTTAATGTAATATATGTAATAAAATGTTAATTTAACTATTTTTATTTGATAAAATATTGAAATAAAAGTTCAAATTTATTTTATTTTATTTTTATTTTATTTTTTAAAATTTAATGTTTTATTTATTGAAATTGTTCTATTTTAAAAAAATATTATTATATTGATTGTAAATTATGCAATTAGATAAAAAAAATTTTTAATTGTAATAATTTAAATACAAAAATAACAACCGTAATACTAAAATTTTATATAAACAAAATATCAAATTTTTCGAATTTGATTATTGGTAGAGATAGTTCGAGATTACATACCAAAATTTATAACGCATATTTTATATATCGTACCAAAATTTTTAGTATGTTATGTTATCGTAATGAGATATTGTACTAATAATTTGGTATACCGAATTTATAGATAAAAAAATACTGAATTACAGAAATAACACATACCGTACTAAAGAATACCGAAAATGCCAAATTTCAGTATGCCGAACTTTTTTTTGTATGGTATCGATATTTTTTTTAATATACAAAAAAATTCGGTGCGGTATACAATATGATTCGGTATTATCGGAATACAGTATCGAGTAATTTCTAATTGAATGACATGTATGGTATCATAATATAATATTTTACGCTGAAATATAAAAATTAAAAATTATTTTACAATTTTAAGAATATATTAGAAATTAATAATTTTAGTATCAATATACTAAATTATTGATATAACCGATATATCAAATACTAAAATATCAGAATGTCTTGATATTTTCGGTATATATTATACCAACAATGCTAAAAGTATATGCAATTGTCGTACTGAAAATGTTTGGTACGGTATCATACCATATAAAAATTTACAATATACAATAATTTTGACATTTTAATATTTTTTCATACGGTACTTGCATTGTTTGAGCAAATTGATATTTTTCACTCTTAATAATAGTGATAAATAAATTATTTTAATGCAATATAAAAATCAAATTCTAAATCAAATCTTTATTAACTAATATCGTAAAATATCAAATCAAATATTTTTTTATATTATATTAAAAATTAATTAAAATTTTAAACATCACATGAACGCTTATTTATATCATATTGAATATTTATTAATTTTTATTATTCAAAATTCTAGCCCTACTATTAAATTTACAATAAAACAAACAATAAAAGTTAGTAGTATAAATAATTGAATAAAATATAATTAAATTTATAATTGTAATTAGTATTTACTAATTATTATTATATTAAAAAATGTAACTAATTTTGTGGGACGACCAAAATAAAAAAAAAAAAAAAAAGTGAACTAATTTCACAGGACGAAAGGAGTATATACGTTTTTAAATAAAAGAGAGGCACCTTTTATCATAATTTGTCAAGGAGTCTTAATTTACCAATATACTTTTAAAATAGGGTGCATTTTTTGGTAGATATTTGTATATATAAATTTTAACTTTTATATATAATAATAAATTTTGATACAAAAATTTTTACACAAAGTTTAATAAATATTATATATTTTTTTTATGACATGGAACCCGCAGTCGCTACGTGAAAGTGCACACTGGATAAATATTTGACCGGATCTAATACCTTACAAACTAGGTCCGACAGACAAGTCACACTAGACGACGAACCGTGTATGACAAGTGATCTGAGGCGTCGGACAGGTGACCCATGACCTTAAGGCCAGACGTCCAACCCTCACACCTAATCATTCCTTACTTTTATAAAGTGTAAAGTTCTTGTAATGATATTGATGTAGTAAGTATAAATACATGATTTTTGTAAAATATAGTGAGATTTATACTTACTAAAAAAATATTTTATTGAAACAATAAAAATGGACAACATATAGGCGGAGAAAATACTATTTACTATTATAAATATTACATTAAAAATATTGTTTAAACTAAAAATTAAAATAAAAAAACTAATCAAATTTACAATGCCATCACACTCCACATGATTCTTTTCGAACTTTTCAAATTACTAACACAGTTCGAACGGAGGATTGGTCAAAAAATAAAAAATTACAAAATAAGCAATCCCAATATTTTTTATTCGAAAAAATTATTATATCATGTAGTAACAAGTTTCGACTTCCAATTTCAAAAATTTAAAATCTTACAATAAAAAATTATTGACCGCAGTTGAATTTATGTTCCCTAGAAAACGAAATTTGAAAAAGAAAGAAAAAAAAAGATTAGGGTAAAAGAACAGTAGGCCGAAAGTTACTAATTAGAATGTGGACTAGGTACTCTGTCACTGCATGACACGTGTAGGTAGCCCATAGGCTATCTCGATATATCTATAGTGGACGGCCTGGATTGATTCTGGATCTCAGCTCCAGGGAGTCCCCAAGAATCAGCTACATTGTATGTATAATTGCTGTGTTTTTCAGTGTCCTCTCTCTCACACACTCTGTCACCCTCTCTCTCTCTCTCATATTCGTACCACTGTTACTGCAGTCCCAATAGTGTCCTCTCTCTCTCTCTCTAATAAAAACTCAGAAACAGAAGCAAACACGGGAAAAACAAAGCAGTCTCTAGGCCAATCCCCAATGCCTTAATTCCTTTCCCTTCATTCATTCACTGTTTTCATCACAGGACGAACAGCAATTTCAAATCCCTAATTTCTACCAGAAATTGAGAGGAAGAAGAAAAAGTTACCTCGATCGAAGATGTGGCGGAGCGAGGCGGACGACGGCGGCGACGATGAGCTTTTCGCGGTGCTGGGATACAACGTGAAGTCGTCAGACATGGCGGAGGTTGCGATGAAGATCGAGCAGCTGGAGGAGGCCATGGGAAGTGTCGAGCAGGACGGTTTGTTGCAGCTCGCCTCCGACACCGTGCATTACAACCCGTCGAATCTCTCGACCTGGCTCGAATCCATGATTTCCGGCCTCAACTCGGAGCTTGAATTCAACTCCGCTTCCGATTCGTTCCGCGAGTCCTCCTCCACGATTACTGCGGACAACGCCGCCGCCGGCAGCAGCGTCAACAGCGGCGGTTCCATGGCGGTTGAGTTGGATTTCGGGTCGGATCTCACCGCCATACCCGGGAAAGCGGTGTACCCGAAACCAGATCTCCCTCCGCAGGCGAAGAAGATGAAAACGACGCCGTATTTGAGGAACTCGGGCGAGTCGGGCTCGGACCGGCCGGCTGAGTCGACTCGGCCAGTTGTCCTGGTCGACTCGCAGGAGAACGGAATCCGCCTTGTGCACACGCTAATGGCGTGTGCGGAGGCCGTACAGCGCGGGGACTATAAATTGGGCGAAGCTCTGGTCAAGAGCATCGGATTTCTGGCGGTTTCTCAGGCCGGCGCGATGAGGAAAGTGGCAACGTACTTCGCCGACGCATTGGCGAGGAGAATTTACCGATTGTATCCTCCGGCGAATCCGCACGACTCTGCCTTCTCCGATTTGCTGCAGATGCATTTCTACGAGACGTGTCCGTATCTGAAATTCGCTCATTTCACCGCCAATCAAGCGATTCTCGAAGCCTTCGCTGGTAAATCTCAAGTTCACGTTATCGATTTCAGCATGAAGCAGGGGATGCAGTGGCCGGCGCTCCTGCAAGCTCTGGCTCTGCGTCCAGGCGGTCCTCCGACCTTCCGATTGACCGGAATAGGACCGCCGGCGCACGACAATACCGATCATTTACAGGAAGTCGGCTGGAGATTAGCTCAATTGGCGGAAACAATCAACGTCGAGTTCGAATACCGAGGCTTTGTCGCGAACTCCTTGGCCGATCTCGACGCCTCCATGTTCGGACTCCGAGAAGGCGAAAGCGTCGCCGTCAATTCCATCTTCGAACTGCACCAGCTGCTCGCGCGCCCGAACGCCATCGAGAAGGTTCTGAATCTGGTCCGCGATTTGAACCCTAGCATCTTCACCGTCGTCGAGCAGGAAGCCAATCACAACGGCAACGTCTTCCTCGACCGATTCACCGAATCCTTGCACTACTACTCCACACTCTTCGACTCCCTGGAGAGCGCCGGCGCCGGCGCCGCCGTGACCGATCAGGATAAGGTCATGAGCGAGGTCTACTTAGGGCGCCAGATTTGCAACGTAGTAGCCTGCGAAGGACCGGACCGGGTCGAGCGGCACGAGACGCTTTCACAGTGGCGAACCCGGTTCGATTCCTCCGGTTTGATCCCGGTTCACTTAGGGTCAAACGCTTACAAGCAGGCTAGTATGCTCCTGGCGTTGTACGCCGGTGGGGACGGTTACAGAGTCGACGAAAATAACGGCTGTCTGATGCTCGGCTGGCACACTCGCCCCTTAATCGCCACGTCAGCCTGGAAACTCACTGAGTCAACTCGCCCACTTCTCTAGCCAGCTGTCTTATTTTATTTTATTTTATGATCCATCTATCCTGCCTGTATGTATTTATTTACATAAATTGCATATGGGTTTTTTGCATGCATAATAAATTAATGACAACCATAATTTAAAATTAGAAAAATAAAAATAAAAATCAGTATACATACATATATATTTTTATTTTAACGTAGATATGAAACTTATTAAATTAGATATTCTGATATATTTGGGCATAAATTATTCTAAAATGATTTGGCAACTCAGGTGTGTAATTAGCGATGATTAAGGGGAAATGAATAATGACAGGCCATGTTAGTGAGCTGGATGCCTAATTACATCGTTAATTAATTAGGACATTATTAATTATGGGTAGCTATCAGACATTTTTTATTTAAATGACATAGTTGATGGCTTTATGATAATTAATTGTGGGGTTATTTATATAATGGTTGATGTGATGGAGATCAGGGATTTCAATATATTATTATTATCATTATTATTATTATTATTATTATTATTATTATTATTATGTCATTCGATAACATTTGCAAGTTGTGTTATTTAATTTGGTAATCCATCCACAGCATCTCGGTTGGCTTAGCTAATTCTGATGTGATTTTGAATCTGTTGAAATCATTGGTGAAATATTTTGACCATATTTAATTGTTAACATGAATTTACAGGAGTTATTTCATTTGAGTTACAAATTATAGTCGGTCAAAATTCAAATAAGATATAGTATCATATTTGATGTTTCCTTTTTTTAAATAAAAATGTTTGATCACATTTAGTTTTATATAAAAATAAAGTTAATTACATTAAGTTTTGTGGTAATTTATTTAGATGCAACATACTTGTAAATGTTCATCTTAAATATACTTAACAAGTATAAACTAATTTAATTAAATTTCTTATTTCTTTACATAGGGTTCATTCAATTTTTTTTTTTTATGTCTATATTTTTTATTAAATAAATATTTTTATTTATATTTAAAATTTTTATTTTTTTATAAAATTAATTTTAAGTTAATTATAAATAAATATATTTATTATTTTATTTCTATCAATATTATTGTAATTAAGATTGTTAATAAAAATAATTATTGTATAATAAAACTAATTATATATTAAGATTAAGATAACTATTAAAATTATAAAATTATAAATTATTAAATTTAAAATGTGATTAAAGTGTATAATTATATTTTCTAAAAAAAGAAAAGACAAATTAGATGAGACGGAGGGAATATTAGTTATTGAAAATCATAAAAATAATTTAAAAAATGATAGTATTTGTTCTTTAGTAAAAGAACTTTTTATTTTATTTTAATATTTTCAAATCAGAAATAACATGTTTTTATGGAAAATATGCATGAAATTTTCTTTTAAAAAATAATGTAATATACACAAATCCTCAAATTTCATCAATTAATAGAATATATTTGGTGCATTTTCACACAAAAAAAAGCTGGCCTGAATTAATTTTAAACTAAATATAATGAATTGAATTAGTCATTAAGGTATGCTGTGAATTAATATATATATAATTGAATAATAATAAATCATAAACATATACTAATATTATATATCAAGTGGATCAAAACTGTTTTTTTATGATGGTTAATACTAAATCATCTTAAAGTCTTCACAAATCATGTACATATATAAAACAAAAAAATATTTCCTTTTTTTATATATACATGAAGAATTAATTAATTAGTTAATCATGTATATATTCATAAATTAATAAATTGGAAATTGGAAATTGGAATTCCAACACATACATGATTTAGCTATGTTATATTAGTGGCTGGAATATAATTAAATAATTAAGTGGAAAAGCGTTTATTGTCATATTACACCATAAATATTGGGTTGCGGAAATTCACAACTTTAATTAATAATAATAATAATAATTGCACTTTAAAGTGCAATTTATTTTTTATTTTTTAATAAATTTGTGGGCAATTAGATATAGTGGATGACATTTTCACATATATATATATATATATTTATTTATATTTATAGAATAATGAGAGGGAATTTTGGAAGCCAAGTCAGAGTAAACTTGCATGAACTAAAAAGCTAGTTAACTTTTCACAGTCACCTGTCATACATGGTTCGCCTAATGTGATTTTTTTGTTGGGTTTAATTTGTTGAGTATTAGGTTCAGCCAAATGTTTACCCAGTGCGCACTTTCAGATAGCGACTGCGGATTCCTACGTCATAAAAATAAAAAAATAAAAAAAAATACACAACTTTGTAATACATACATATCTTTAGATACTATCAACAAAATAATAATAATAAATTAGATTATTGTGTTTCCAATTATTATTATTATCATTATTATTTTATCCTTTGAAATAATTTTTAAAATTGTTTTAATTCAATATATTGCATAATTTTTAAAATTGTTTCTAGAAGATTTTTGAATTAAAGTTTTAGAGGACAGTTCTATAATGATCCAATCAAATTAGCAACACATTAACACACATATATATATATATAATACATATAAATGACGTTTATCATATCTATTTTTTTTTTCATATTTATAATATATTATATACCATGTTATAACATAATATATATTATATTTTTTTATCCGTTCTAAAACAATAGTTCTATTTTGCCATTATTTTATATTTTAAAACAATAATCTCATTTTCATTTTTATAATTACTTCCTCACCATTTTACAAAACGGTTCCAAGTTTATCACAATAATTACATAAAATTTGGACATTTTGGTTTTTTAAAAATACTTTTACACCCACTATCAATATTGTTACAATATGAAACTAAAATATTTTATTTCAATCATAAGAATACGTACGCATTTATAGTAAAATACAAATTGTCTAAATAATGCAAGAATTCTATAAATCTCTTAAATAAGACAACTAACATAAATATAATATATTGCTTCTAAATATATTTTAACAAATACTCCCTCCGTCCACTTACAATATTTACATATTTCTATTTTGGGAAGTCCAATTACAAAGTTAATATTTCATTTAATACTCTTACTTTACATTACATCATTACTTTTACAAAAAAAAAAAAAAAAGGACAAAAATGTCATTATACTACTTTAACTACTCACTATAATTAAAATACTATTATTTCTTATACACCGCGCCAAAAGTAAATGTAAACCTTGTAAATGAACGGAGTGAATATAATACTATTATTCCTTAATTGTTATGCTCATCTCAAAATGTCCCTATTATTTTGAGACATAAAGAGTATAATATAGCATATGTTTTATTAAGTAGAAATTATTATTAGTCATGTTTATAATATATTGACCGGATGAACATGAAATCAACACCCAAATTTTAATAAAATATACTTTACAATATAAATTAATGTTAAAAAATACAAATGAACTTTGCACGATAATATAATTAGAAAATTATTGTCTATCATTATTATATGTATATTATATTATATATACACCCAGGCAACTTGCCTCATTTCCCACTGCAACAAAAAGTTGCACTAAACTATATTAATATTTATATGACATATATTCATTATTTTATATTATTTACATAATTTTTTATACTTCATATAAAAAAAATTCATTTAAATTATTTCACAAAATAAATATAAGAGGTTTGTTCTTTCTATTACTTTTTCCGATATTTCAAAAAAATTAATACATTACAATATTCATTATTTTTATATTCACTATACAATTCCCTGTAACTTACGTCAAAATATTTTCCTTTCCAATAATCTTACAAAACAAAAGGCATTTAATTTAATTGGGATGAATTTGGAATAAATAGACTTCTTCAATTAGTTTTCCATTTACTTTAAAGCAATGTTGTGGATTTTAAATAAATCTATTTTAAGGTGTATTTTTTGGAATTTATTTTTATTTTTAAAAATATTATTTTTAAAATGTAAGGAAGGTTTTCTTCACTCAAAACCATCCATTTTTTTTATTATTTGATCTATGTATCTCCGAAAAAGAGATATTTTTCTTTCTCTCATAAATATTTCATCAAATATTATTTTAATATCAAATTTAAACAAAGTTTCTTCCCAAACTAATTAAAAGAAACACAACCTAATGTGTTATGAGAAAATATACTACTACTATTTTTATAAGAAATGGTAATAATTTTATAGAAAAAATAAAGAAATAAATAAAATAAAAAAATATTTTATTAATATTGTAAATCCATATTTATGAAATAAAAAAATATGTATACTGTGTGTAGACATCTTAAATAGCAAAATATATATATTTTTGTGATATAATATTTTAAATAAAACTAAATATTTAATTTGATATGCTTTAAAAGTAAATTTGTTGATGAATATACACCATTAAAATAAAATCAATTCATCTGAGATTTACTATCAAATTCAAATTAAGGTACTTCACGCTCAATTTATTTTATTTTTTTAAGAGACTTTTTCGGCTGTGTTTACTTGTGAGGTTTTTATTTTAAATTTTGATTTTGAATTGAAATAGTTATTTGATGTGATATAAATATGTATTGATACGATGTTTTGAATGTAGAATTATTTTAGTTTAATAAAATAAATAAAAATTGAGTGTTTGATTTGATATTCTTTGAGGAAAAAAAAATTAATAGTAAAATGAGAGATAACAGAACCAAAGATACTCATTAGAAGTGATTTTTCCAAGCCCAATGTTGCTTTTATTTTTAGGTAAATTCAAAATTAATAAATGTGGCCCAAATACTCAAATCCAAATCCGAAGGCTTATTGGCCATTCATTGGGCTTTTTTTATTCCAAAATTGAATGAATTCATGTAATAACTTTTATTACTTCTAAATCCATTCAATGTTTTAAATACTCTACAGGGGTTGTTTGTTTGCTTGAGTTTTAGTTTTTAATTATTATTATTTTTTTAATTTTTATTTGAATAGTGATTTTAATGTAGTAAAATATTTTATTATTATAAAAAATTATATTGTGAAAACATTTGATATCAAACTCTAAAAGTAACAAGTCTTTGCTTTAAATTATCAATAAACATTAAATTTCAATTTTAGAAAATAGCATTTTTCTCAGAGTATTAAAAAAATAATAAAACATATATTTTAATAATATTTTTACGTTTTTTAATAAGTAAAAGAAAAAAACTCATAATATATATATATATTTATATCCAATAAACCAGAGTTTTCATTTTTTATGTATCAAATTAATTATACGGATTACCCAATTTATTTATATCCAATAAACATCTATGGATTGGTTTCTTAATATATATATATATATATATATATATATTCTTTCGTATGAAATAATTATATCAAATTTTGTTATTATCTGATAAATTTATGAATAAATTATTTATAATAAAAAAAATTATGTATTTATAATATTATTACTCTTATTTCAATAAATAATAATTAATTTGTCATTAATTTTTCTATACTGTGCTCCTTTTTATTA